ATTCAGACTCCACAAGAAAAGGGAAAGAGACAGGAGGAGGAGGAGGAAAGTGGGGAGTGGATGACAGACAACCAACCGGGTAGGGACTGGGCAAGAGAGCGCAAGGGGCACAGTGGAGAGCTCCCAGAAGAGACAGACAGAGCTGGGGGAGGGATGATGTGGACACCTCAGTTGCGTCAGGGTGTCCATGGCCTGCCGCCGGACGGAGGTCAAGAGGGAATCCAGCGGCTCCTCCTGGATCTGCTTCTGGAGAGGGGGCCCCAGTGGGGCTGATGATGGGGACCCCAGAGGGCTGCTCCAGACCTCTCAGAACTCCCCCACTGGTGTGAACTCCCACATGCTGCCAGGCCTCCAGGATCTGGAGAGCTGGAGAGCCCACTCACTACTCAATCCCTTCCTGGGTCCTCACTTGAAGACACCAAAGCACCCTACCCATTGGACCATGTCCTCCCAACAACCCAGTGGTACACACCCATTTGAGGAGAGCAAGGCCAAGAAAAGGGAAGTGACTTGTCCAAGCTCACCCAGGTGTCCACCTATACCTCCCTCTGCCCACTTCCATCCCGTCTCTCCCAGTGGGTAGACTCCCACTGGTGTCCCAGACCCGGATGTGACTTCTGCACCATCATCTTATTCATCATGATCTTCTTCTCTCCTTCGGATTCCAGCAGGTTCTGACTCTTCTGGAAGGTGCTGGCATCCTCATCCTTGAGAACAGCAGAGGGCAAAGCCACAAGGTGAGCACTGCTCTGAACTAAACCCTCAGGGGCTGCTGATATGCCACCCATTAACCACCCAACAATTCACCTGCTCCTCCCCAGCTGCCAGCCACCACACCAGTTCAGGCAAAGCAATTAACCACAAAGGGAATTGGGGGTGGGGTGAAGATCTGAAGAGGTTGCAGTGGCAGGGATAGAGTGGTCAGTCTTTGGAGGAAAACTGGGTGTCAGAGACTGCAAAGCATCTGCCACCGCCAGTCAAAAAGGGAAAAGAGGCAGAAACTGGGGAGACAGGAAGGGTTCCAACACGTCAATCTGAAGTTCTACCATTAACGTCATGTTTTAAGGGCCTGTGAGTACATAGTGGTCAGGTTAAGGCACTTTGCTACCTGACTGAGGGAGCGCATTAGTTGGTGTCCAGTTACTCTAAAAGTTCCTACTGTTTTATGGCAGAGACAAAACAAAAACAGAAAAATAGCTTCATAAAGTAAAGATAACAAAAAGAAGCTCATCATGGAGAGGGTGGTGGGTTAGAGATAACCACAAGTTCTTTCTTTCTTCTCCTCTCAAAAGGTAGAGTCTATTTCCTCTCTCTTTAAATCTGGACCCATCTTACAACTTCCTCTGACCAATGGAATTCTATGAAGTGATGCTGTGCCAGTTCCTAGCCTTGGCCTTAAAGGAACTGGCAACTGATAGGTTCCTCTTTCCCCCTCTAGAACTCAGCCGCCATGCTGTAAGGGAGCCCACACTAGACTGTGGAATGAAGAGAGAGCATGTGGGGAGATACTCTGAGTGAAGAGTCATCTTGGATGTTCTGGCCCCAACAGTTATTTCATAAGGAATAAAAGAACCTCCCAGCTAAGCCCAGTCAAACCTGAGAACTGTGAAATATTAGACCCTTCTAATCCATACTTTCTAGCAGACTAAGTGAACTTTAAAGCCTCTAAGTTTCACTGAACAGAAACTAACAATTTAAACAATAAGGTTAATAGAGGAGGGAAGGCTAAGTTAGGTTAAATGGTCAGGAAAGGCCTGTCAGAGGAGGTGACCTTTGGGCTGAGTCTTGAATGAAGTAGGAGGGAGACCTCCCTGTCTCCCCAAGAGTATGAGTTCACAGTTGTATCCTAATGCTTGAAGACTGTATTGCCACAAAGCAGAGACTCAGTGAAACTTTGTTGGATGACTGAATACACTCTGTGCAGTCATAAAACTCAGTGCTGTGCATCGATTATCCAACACAGGCCTCACTTCAACTTTATTGCACCCATTTTGTAGATGAGAAGATTCTTCCTGGCAGAGAAAGCACAAGTGTAAAGGCCCTGCCATAGGAACAAGCTTGGCACTGTGAAAATAGAAAGAAGGCTGGTGTGGAGAGAGTGAGATGGGCAGCAAGGAGAATGTCACAGAATGAAGACAGATGCTCCCAAATGTACCTCCCACCTTGCACTGCCCTGGGTACTGGAGCTTACTCCTAAGCAGCCTGGGAACAGGGGCCCCCTTTGCTGACTCCCATGTTGCTGGCTGCCCATCTAGGTTCCATGTGTCCTGCCTGGGGAGATTCCCTGTCTCCAAACTCTGCCCACCTTTCAGTCTTGTTCACACTGTGTATGCCACGGTCATGGTCACAGGCTTGTGCCTGCCCGTTCTGTGCTTCCTTTGCAGGACTGACCTTCTCTGACCTCTGGAGGCCTGCTGCATGGCCAAGACTCGAGTTGGGGCCTGCTAGTGCCCTGAAAAAGGCGCCATAGCCAGATTTTCTGTTCCTTTCCTAGCCCCTCCCACAACTCATCCTGTCATTTAAAATTTTTAATTTAAAAAAAAAAAAAAAAAACTTTTATTGAGCAACTACTACGTGCCAGGCACTGTTCTAGACACTGAGGATAGAATTGTGAACAAGATAGATAAAAATATTTGGCATTACAGAGGTTACATTCTAGAGTTGAAAGACTGACCAAAAATAAGAAAGAATAGAGAATACAGTATCAGATTGTGGTGTTGTGGCTTCATACGACAAACACTGGACTGCCAACCACAAGGTCCATGGTTCAAACCACCAGCCACTCCACTCGGTGGGGCAAAGATGAGGCCTGCTGTTCCCTTGAAGATTTAAAGCCTTGGAAACCTTCTCCAGGGTCGCTGTGAGTTGGAACCAACTAGAAGACCCTTCACAACAGCAGATCTGGTAGTGTAGGGAGTATGTGCTGGGCTGCTGACCACAGGGTTAGCAGTTTGAATCCACCAGCCACTCCATGGGAGAAAGATGAGATTTTCTGCTCCCATAAAGATTTACAGCCTCAGAAACCCTATCCAGGGTTGCTAGGTGGACCACCACTATTGTCTTACTATCAGAGAGTGGTGAGTGAAATGGAGTAAAAGAAAGCTGGGCAGAGGAAGAGGAAGTGAATGCCAAGTGGTAGCAGGGGGAACTGGAGGGGCCCCAGGGGGAAAGTCAGCTGGGGGGCTGAGCGGGAGGCATACCAGAGCCATGCTGTTGTCATCCTCTCTCTTCCTGGACATCTTCACCCGACACAAGGGCACTTCATCAAAGACTCCTGCACATCACAGTTTTAATAAGGAGAGAAGAGGGAGGGTAAAGATGTGGGGTACACAGTCCCCTCTGCCTTCCTCCATGAAGGACCCCTCCAACCCTGAGTCTCCCAGCAGCCAAAGAGCTTTTGAAAGTAAATGAGCTCACATCACCTCTCCTGTTTTTAAAACCCTTTAGTGTTGGCACCCCAACTCACTGAGCATAAAGCCAGCATCCTTGCCAGACTCTTTGAGGCCCTGCAGAGTTGGTGCCCTCGTCCCACCTCCCAGCCCTATCTCCCTCCACTCTCCTCTCCTTCACCATACTCTGGCCCACTGACCTCCTTGCAGTCCCCAGAAGCATCTCCTCTTGGGGCCTTTGCATAGGTGGTTTCCTCTACCTGGGCTGCTCCCCTGCCTCCCTCCTTGCCTAGTAGGGGGCTCCCCTCCTTCATTCTCTGCTGATCTGCACTCCTCAGACAGACCCCTCTGGGTGCCCTCTTGGATGCTTTTGTGCATTATCCTACTCTCTCCACAGTTATCACTATTTGTAACTAAGCATTTTTATTTGTTATAGTGGATATCTACTCTTTTGCCTGCTTCAAACCTCTTTACTTTAGTTAAAGAACTCCTCTCTTTCCTGTGGGCTACCCATTCCATAAATGAAATTGAATTCTGCAACCCCAACCCATCAGTCCATCTTCAAATAGAAGTGACCTGGAATGCACTCTTGGCCAACCCAAGTGTTCCATGTCCCCAGACACAGGGATTGTTCCAAGGGTGAGCACTTGGCTGAGAACGCTTTATGTGGGCCAAGGGCAACACTGAGGGACAGTGGGTCCTCTCCTTCTGAGATCATAGTCACAAAGGCTTAGAGCTTCAGGATATCTTGGACAGTAGAGGATGCCATTGAGGATGAAGTCAACAGGGAAACAAGCAAAGATGAGCGGGAACAGAGAAAGAAGAGATTTCTGATATTATTTGAACTTTTGGATTAGCCCTACTTATATCTATATCTACTGAATTAACAATGAAGTCCAAGGTGCATTGAAGGAATTGGCAAAGAACAAGGAACCAGGAATTGATGGAATAAAAATTGAAATCTTTCAAGAAAGTGAGGCAGCACAGGAGGCACTCACTCATCTATGCCAAGAAATTTGGAAGACAACTGTCTGGCCAACTGATTGGAAGAGATCCATATTTGTGCTCATTCCAAAGAGAGGTGACCCAATGGAATGCGGAAATCATTGGGCAATCTCTTTGATATCCCATGCGAGTAAAGTTTTGCTAAAGGTAATACAGAAACAGCTACAATCATACATTGACAGAGAAATTCCAGAGGTTCAAGCCGGATTCAGAAGAGGCTGTGGAATGAGGGATATCATTGCATTGCTGATGTCCGATGGATCTTGGCTGAAAGCACAGAAGATCAGAAAGATGTTTACCTGTGCTTTATTGACTACGCAAAGGCTTTAGATTGTGTGGATCATGACAATCTATGGACAACACTGCGAAGTGTGTGTATTCCTGAACACTTAATTGTGTTCATGAGGAATCTGTACCTGGACCAAGAGGCAGTTAGTTGTTCGAACAGAACACGGGAACACTGAATGGTTTAAAATTAAGAAAGGTGTGTGGCAAGGTTGTATTCTTTCACCATACTTATTCAACCTGTATGCTGAGCAAATAATCAGAGAAGCTGTGTTATATGAGCAAATAATCAGAGAAGCTGTGTTATATGAAGATAAACGTGGCATCAGGATTGGAGGAAGACTCATTAACAACCTGCGATATGCAGATGATACAACCTTGTTTGCTGAAAGTGAAGAGGACTTAACACATTTACTGATGAAGATCAAAGAGCACAGTCTTAGGTATGGATTACATCTCAATGTAAAGAAAACAAAAATCCTCATCACTGGACCAAGAAACAATATTCTTATCAATGGAGAAAAGATTGAAGTTGTCAAGGACTTCATTCTTCTTGGATCAACTATCAACACTCGTGGAAGCAGTAGTCAAGAGATCAAATGATGTATTGCATTAGGCAAATCTGCTGCACAAGACCTTTTTGAAGAGCAAAGATGTCAGCTTGAGGACTAAGGTGTGCCTGACCCAAGCCATGGTATTTTCAATAACCTCATATGCATGTGAAAGCTGGACAGTGAATAAGGAAGACAGTAGAAGAATTGATGCCTTCGAGTTATGGTGTTGGAGGAGAATATTGAAAGTGCCATGGGCTGCCAAAAGAACAAATAGATCCATTTTGGAAGAAGTGCAGCCAGAGTGCTTCTTAGAGACCAGGATGGCCAAGCTTCATCTCTCATACTTTGGACCTATGGTCAGGAGGGACCCGTCACTGGAGAAGGATATCATGTTTGGTAAGGTGGAGGGTCAGAGAAAAAGAGGAAGACCCCCAACGAGATGGATTGGCCAAGTGGCAGCATCGATGCACTCAAGTGTGGCAACAGTAGTGAGGTTGGCCTAGGATCAGGCAGTGTTTTGTTCTGCTGTGCATAAGGTCACTATGGGTCGGCACCTAACAACAACAACATATCTATCTCTGGTGGAGTCCTGATACTGTAGGATAAGCATTTAATGGCTAACTACAAGGTCAGTGGTTCAAACCCACTAGCTGCTCCTCAGAAACCCTTTATTGGGTCCCTATGACTCAGAACTGACTCCACAGCACCACTTACCAACAACAGCAGCATAGCTGGCTCTACCCCTGGACATTTTAGTTATGTGAGCCAATAAAGTTTCTGTTTTTCGTAAGCAACTTTGAGTTGGAGTTTAATCTTCTGCAACAAAAAAGAACATTCTTGCCATGAAGAATCTCAGTTTTATGGAGAGGGTCTCTGATAAGACTTGAGTGGGTCCTGAGCTTTGTCTTCTAACCCCAAAATTATTTTTAACATGTGAATCAGATCTGTAACCACCAATGCTTATACTCTTGAGTATTTATTGAATTAACTAAATATCTAGTGCCCAGCCACGATGTTAGAGCCTGAGAATCAGGAGTGAATAAAACAGGCAGAACCCTAACTCTAATGGAGCTGAAGGACTAGTCGGGATGACATATTAAATATATGCAAGGTAGGTTCAGACCCCAAAGGGCCACCCCCCTCTGCTGTAAGGGAACTAGAAGTAAACCTACTTCATAGCCACCCCCAAGGGGATTTCTAGGGATTTCATTATAGATTAGATAGATAGACAGACAGATGGACAAAAGGTGGTGGTGGTTACGTGCTATGGAGTCGGTTCTGACTCTAACAACCGTGTATCGAGTTTCCCAGGCTGTAAATCTTTATGGGAGCAGAAAGCCTCATTTTTCTCCTGCGGAACAGCTGGTAGTTTCGAACTGCTTACCTCGAGGTTACCAGCCTGACTCATAACCACTATGCTACCAGAGTTCCTTAGATAGACAAATAGATTGTTTGAAAAACAAAACCAATAAAATTGACCTAATTGAAATGGTAGAAAATAACACCATGTTCCTGAATGCTGTAGATTCTTATCAATTATAATAGATCCTTTACTAAATTTTACACATGTTGTTGTTGTTAGGTGCCATCAAGTCAGTAGTGACTCATAGCGACCCTATGCACAACAGAATGAAACACTGCCCAGTCCTGGGCCACACCATGATGGATAAAGTGAGGGACAGAGTAGAAGGAGACCCTCAATGAAATGGATTGACACAGTGGCTACAACAATGGGCTCAGACAGCGGTAATTGTGAGGGTGACTCAGAACCAGGCAGTGATTTGTTCTGTTGTACATAAAGTTGCTATGAGTCGGAGCTGACTCAACAGCACCTAACAACAACAACAACCATAATAAAGACTGTGTGATATTGGCAAAAGGACAGACAAACAGATCAGTGTAACAGAACACAGAGTCCAGACATAGACCCACTTATACACAGCCGAGTGATTTTTGTAAAAGAAACAAAAGCAATTAAATAAAGAAAAGGTAGTCTTTCAATCAATGATACTGGAAAATAATCTATCACATGAAAATCTATAGACAACCTAGATTCTTACCTCATGCCATATAAAAGATTCATTGAAAATGATCATAGACATAAATAAAAAGCCTAAAACTAGAGAACAAAACAATAAAACATAGGCAAAAATCTTTATGATTTTGAGTTAGGCAAATATCTCTTACATATGACACCAAAAGAGGGATTCATAAAAGAAAAAAATTGGCAAGTTGGACTTTTTCAAAATTAGGAACTCTTTGAAAGACAACACTAAGAGAATGAAAAGATGAAAGACAGAGTGGGAAAAAATTTTTTGTAAATCATCCATCTGGTAAAAAACTTACATAAGATATAGAGAGAGAAATTGAAAACCATCTTTTAAATTAACAAATCATAAGAAAACAAGCTGATTTTTTTTTTAATGGTCAAAATATTTTAGCGCTTCACCAAAGCTAATAATAGCAAATTAAGAACATTAAAAAACAAGCTGGCATCATTAGTCATTGTTGCTACTAAATGCCATCCGGTCAGTTCTGAAGCATAGTGACCTTGTATAGGGTTTTCAAGGAATGACTTGTGGCTTTAACAGTCCATTACTTATCCTACAGCACCACACCAGGATTTATTTGTTGTTTTTAAATGCCATTGAGTCAGTTCTGACTCATAGAGACCCTGTATAGAGTTTCCGAGGAGTGACTAGTGAGTTTGAACTGATGACCTTGAGGTTCAAACCAACCTTGCAGCTGAGTGCTAATCCAACAGTGGCACACCAGGACTACTCACACCTATTAAAAAATGGCTTAAATTTAAAAATCGGATAACCTGATAAAATGTAAAACAATAAAATTTTTAAATCTGATAGCTATAGTATCAAGTCTTGGAGATGATACACCATGACAAGCATTCTCAGACACTGTTGGTAGCAATGTAAAATGGTATATCAACTTTGGAAAGTTTCTTTAAAAGTTACTCCCATGTAATGAAACAAGTTATATGAATGGTTGAATGTGAAACTGATGATGTGCCCTGTAAACTTTCA